ATTTAGAATTGCTAAAGAGGAACACTGAGAAGCACTGTGTGATTTGAAAGGAACAATAAAACTAACTTTTGGAGCTAATATCCACATGGTAGATGAGCCCTTCATGAAAACGAAGATCTGACTGAAGGGTGTGGCCTGTGTGCCATAGCTAAGATGGTGAGGTGTAGAAGCTGTATTCATTAAATTAATTTGAAAGCTCCAAATAAGAAGCAACATGTTTTTCTATTCGTGGAAAATCTTTTGTGTGTAAAGGTTTGTCTAGTATTCTGGAGTACACGTTAAAATATTGTCAAAAAGAGAAATCTATGACAATTCCAGCTTCTATATTCCAATGCTAGCTTTAGCTGTATTTAAATAAATATTATAACATCATATTCTATTGTTTCATACTGAAATAAGATAATTGTAAAAAGAAAGAAATTTGTTGAGGTTGTGAATTAAAAGAAGTGATGTATGTGTGTGTGTGTGTGTGTGTGTGTGTGTGGTGAATGATTGTGCATTGTTCTCAGGAGATATATTACAAGACACTTATTGGCTCTCAGAATTGACTTACGGAGTTTGGAGCACCCAGATAAAATAACAAGAAAGCACAAAGACAGTGAAAAAAAAAAATATATATATATATACTGCAAAAGTTGTGGATTCACTGATAACATTTAATTTTGGAAAGATTTGGTTAAAATGCTTTCTAATATTTGATTAAAATTAGAATTCTAAAAAATAGATATTTTAGATTCATAGGAGGAATTCTATAAAAGCTACAGAGAAAGAAAATTCATGATTTTCTGCATTTTATTGATACTTCTAACATTGTAAAAATAGTTTTAGACTTATGGAAAACTTGTGAAATATTAGAAGAACCCATATATGTCTGCTAGTGTCCCCATTACATGCATCTTACCATGGAGTACTTTGTCATAACTGAAATAAAGTCATACGTTGTTATTAACAAGAGTTATACTTTATCCAAATTTTTAAACTTTCATACCTTTTCCCATTTGGGGATCTCATTCAGCAAATCACATTACACTGACTTATGATGACGTTTTAGGCTCCCCGTGACTGGTGCATCTTCTTAGACCTTCCTTACTTTTGAAGACCTCGCGTTTGGAGGCGTCTAGGTCACGTGTGTCACATCATCTTTCTCACTTGCTGTTGTCTGATGTTTTTCTCATGATTATTAGACTGAGGTTCTGGGTTTTGATGAGGAATATGGAAGTGCCGTTCCTTTTGTGTCATAATGCCAAGGGTGAATACTATCAGTTTGCCTTTCCATTGTTGATGTTAACCTTGATCAACTGGCTGAGATAGTGTTTGACATATTTTTTCTCCACAGGAAAAAGTTATATCCCTCACGTACATCTTTGCCCTCTAAACCCTTTGGAAGGAGGTCCCTGCGTGCAGCCCACACTTAAGGCACATTCTTACTCCTCCACGGTGACTCTGCATAAATTATTTGGAGCTATTTACATTAACTTTTCTCTCATGTATTTCTTCATTCGATCACTTATTATTATTATTATTCAATCACTTATTTTATCATTTATTTATTATACTTATTTTGTACTTTAACTTGTAATCCATTAACAATTTTCTATCATTTGTCAAAAGTATCTCTCACCTTAGTTACTACCAACAAGGTGAAAGTATGGTTAATCCTGTTTAAGATAGCTCAAACTATTCTAGTTTGGCTATGGAGAACTCTTATCTCATGCATACAGTGATACTCTCCTCACTGTAGTTCTACTCTCTCTTTCCCTCTCTGTCTCTCCACATCTTTATTTTGAGCAACAAAATGCTCTAAAGGTTATCTGTTAAACTTCCTGTCCCACAGACAGCACGTAGAATATCTGTTTCTCTAAGCCCTGATTCATTCATTAGAGAGCAGCATTAGAAACCAAGATCTGGTGACCCATTGCTGCTTCTTTCTGTGACTCACCAGTTGGCAGAGCAAGGAAGGGTATGAGTGGACACACAACCGCACATACACATTTCTCTCTGTATCGATGTTGTTACACATGGATTTATACTGATGTCTCCTCGAGTCCAGTGCTATATAGATAACCCTAACCTTCCCCACTTGCTTCTCCACCACCTTTTCCAGGCCAGTACAACACTGAGACCCCTGGATCTTACCACTAACGTTCATTTCATTGTTCAAGTGTGAGATGCATTATAATGGTTTCAGAATTCTTAACCTGTACTTCTAGGAAAGGGGAAAGCACTTTATCAATTTTTTTGTGTTGTCATTTCAGAAGCTAATAAGCCTCCCACTCTGTCAGAACTACCAGTTTATGACTTCAAATGCCTTTCCCCAGAGGCTCTGTTCCAGGAAAGCAGATGTAGCCCATGTCTCTTCGGGTGAACCTAGCTATTTATTATTTATTTATTTATTTCCTTTTCATTGAGTTCATTGGTACTTTTCAAGTATACAGTTAGTTACACTCATCATTGGGATCTTGTACCTTTACAGGACAGGTCTTGGTTCTCATTTCTTCCACGTATCCCTACTCTCCCTTAGCTCCCTTCCCCATCCCCTATTTACAAAGAGTTGGTTTCCACTTTTTCCCTTTCTCATATTTTTTTCTTTTCCCTTATTTAAATTTTGGGTACATTGTTTTTCTTGTGATCATCATTCTCTGGTGGGTCCCAAAAAGTCATTGATTTTAGGTTTGCCCCAGGTTTTTCTTGTTGGTAAAAATGTGAGTGGTTTTGTTTGTTTGTTTGTTTTACATATCAAAGTTAAAAATGGGAAGACTCTTCATCCTTGTTTAAATATTTAACCTGAAAAACTTTCATTGGAATCTAAATCCATGTGAATCATCACATGAAAAGTAAGGACAATTTTAAAGTTAAGGAATTATTATTCTCTAAAGTACAGTGCAAAGATAGAATTATCCAAACTTACATTAATGGATGGAAGAAATTGTTCCTTCATAAGATAATTCAGCAATAAATATACTACTGCAATTTTCTACCATTTTTCAAAAATATTTCTCACCTTGGTTACTATCAACAAGGTGAAAGTATTGTTAAAATATCTTAAACAGGAATTGAGAATAGACATTTTAAGCACTAAAATTTATTATGAATCTTAAATTCATATTTAATGAGAAACGAGATTGTTTAAATTTTCTTTACTGATTTTATGTATATCCTAAAGTTAACATGTCCATTACTTAAATTTTTGTTGTAATTATATAATATAAACAATCTACAATTAATTTTACACTGTTTTCTTTATCCCAAAATTCATCCCCATTTTTTCAGTGTGCAATGCAAATATTACCTTTTTTTTTTCAGTGTGTCATAGGCCAAATTGTTTATGAAAGTCTACTATAAGATGAAGTGTCAGGGTAAGAAGATGATGCTGCAGTATGTTAGACAAGACTCCAAAGTTTATAACCTCTTGGCATTCTCAAAAGTGCCTTTCTACCAAAGGACCAAGCTCAAGTAATACTTTTTCCCCTCCAGGGGCCAATAAAGCACTTAACAGTGTTGAAACTGAGAAGTTAGTTGTTTTTTTTTTTTTTAATTTAAACCAAGGAAAATCACAGGTGTATGTTCCTGAGGCAATACTCATCTCTGATCTCAAAAGTCCTGGGTCCCTTGAACCAGCTTTTTATTTTGTTTTTTTGGCAGTGGAGTTTAGAAGGAAAGCGAGACTTCTGCCTGAAGTCAGCAGTGTTGCCTTTCAGGATCCAAGGTAAACTTGAGGCTATTTTTTGGGTCAGGAGGTCCCTAGTTATGTAGAACACTAGGTGTTACTTTGCAATGTCTTACCCAGCTCATAAACACGTCCAGTGACATGGGGTTGGGTTCCCTCCACTAACCCACCAAGCACCTTTCTTATGAGGATTGGAGGACCTGTGGTCTGGTCTCAAGTTGTTACTGAGCCTCGTGATAACCTTGATGTCATCAGTGATGTATATCAGTGTGCGTCTTCTGTCTTTCCTGAGCCACAGCAGTACTGATGACAACAAAGAAGATTCTATTGAAGGTCTTTTTTCCTCATTTCACTTGAATTCCTGATGTAGTGAAATGAAGAAGCCCAAGAATAATACTCTCCTTCCTTCTTTTTTTGGTTTTTGAGGGTCTCACTATGTAGTTGAGACTGACCTGGAACTCACTATGTAGCCCAGGCTGGTCTCGAACTCACAGTGATCCTCCTGCCTCAGCCTCCTGAGTGCTGGGATTGCAGGTGCGCGCCACCATGCCCGGCTTTCTCCTACATTCTTTATTATTGTTACTCTAACAACTAGGACTTCATTGACATAAACAACCATATTTAGAATCCTTGATGACACACTGGAAAATATAAAAGTTGGCAGATGAACTCCGATATGAACTGTTTCAATTCAGAATGTAACTGAGTGAGAACAATTTCATATTTGTAAAAGCTGCCTTGATGACCTGTTAACCAAAAGTTCAGAATGATTAACAATTAAATAATTTGATTCCACCTCTCTTGGGAAAATAGAATACTTGATTAGTATAGCCTGTGCTGATGATGCTTTCACAAGAGCCTCATTTGAAGTTCACTTAGAATCCTCACTATATTTTTACCTTTAGTTTATGGTGTAACTGTTTGAAAAGAGCAAATGTGGTTTAGGAGCCTTTACAATCACATTTTAAATGATATCGATCGATTTGTCCTAGCCATTGAAGAATAGATATAGAAATGCTCCATTTTGTTGTTGTACAGCTTGCTCCGGATCATTTGAAGGCAATACAGCAATTTTTCTGCTCAGCTCTTCGAGGTGACCTTGGGGACTGTGTATTCCTGATTAGTATGCTGGGTACTGGCACTGGCTTATATAATCTTTACCCACCTTCTAAAATACATTGTTTTTACCTAATTAAGTTTTACCTATTCTTGTTATTCTATTAAATTACAAGGAACAGAGCTTAAGCAGATTTTTTACAAAATAAATCTTTAATTGTTATAAAATGTTTTTGGGAAAAAACCTATCAGAAATATGTGCAAAGAAAACCCCCAGTAAAACCAGAAAAAAAGTTGAGTAATATCTATTGATGTTTATAAATTTATTGAATATAGTACAAGATGAAAAGCAGAAGTTTATGGCTTGGAGTTGGTTTGCATGTTACAAAAAAGTCATGTAGGCAGTGGGTTTGTCTTACTGTACCAACTTTGACTAGGAAGAAGTGAGAAAAATAAAGCAAACAGGACAGCGCATTGTGGATGCAAACAGCCGTGAAATTTTTGTTCACTTCATCCAGGCCTCTAGGATGTTCTGGAAGGATTTTCTCCTCCAGCCCCGGGTGCCCTGAGGACACCGTGCTTCCTCCTTAGTGAGACAGCTACAACAGTGAACTGCAGTCAAGTGGCGCACAGGTACAGGCGACGGACACCCTTGCCTTTCTTCGTGTCACAACTGGAGGACTTGCTGCAATATTTGCATACTCGCTTTTGAAATGAGTTCAAGACACAGTACTTAAAATTCATTTCGCTTCAGAAGTTCAGGTTCATTAAAGTAGGTGGGCCAGTGATCACCGGCAGGTCTTCTATGAAACTTGTTGGAAAACTCCTGTTCCTTTCAGCGCTAACGAGAGGAGGAGTTTTTAAAATAATGAGCCTATGTGGATAGAAACAAAAACGAGAATCTCACAAACTGGTTGGCAGGACGAGATGTGTCATTTTCCTACTTCTGCTAGTCTACGTTAGTGAGCTTACCGGAGCGGAGACGTTAGTGACGGGCTCTTGCGCAATCACAGAGCCTAAGGAACTATGATCATCACAAACTCTTCTCATGCAGTGAGCTCCACAGAACGTTCTCACACGTGCCTTTTTACCTTCAACTGGAATTTTACATTGAGTTCCTAGAGTGGAAAATATTCAGTTGGACAGACAGTAGAAAACCATGTCAATGCAATTTTTTATGATTCCCATCAGCTAAAATGTCTTTGTTCATTCCACAAATATTGATATAAAATTTAAAATAACCTTTAGGATGTAGAATTCAGTTTTAAAATATAGTATGCATTTATACATGCATATCTGTGTGCACAAATATATATCCCACATATACACTTAATATAAGGGAAATAATTTGATTTCTTTTTTTTTTTTTTTTGGTACCGGGGATCGAAATCGGGTCCTGGTGTTTGCAAGGCAGGAGGTGGAACCACTGAGCTAGATCCCTGGCCCCTAAGGGAAATAATTTGAAAGAATGGCTATGAACAGGTTTTTAAATAAAAGATGAGAAAATTGCTTTAAGGGAAATTTAAGATAAAGTCTCACATCCTACTTTGCACTGAAGTAACTTTCAGATAACTGTTAAATTTCAGATTATAAAATTCTAGAGAAAATATAGAAACAAAAATGGAAAAATGTAAAGCATAAAAGGACAGATTTAAAATATGAAAATGTAAAATTTCAATATAGTACAAAAACAATAATGCTAATAATTTATGTAGATAATTAGAAACATTCTCAATAAATATGTAAGGAGCTAATTTCAATTTATAAACAGTTTTTATAAATAAATAAGAAATGAACGTAATGTCTAAAAAATGAAAATGGTGAAGGAATTAAAAATTATTCAGTTTCATCAAAGAATTTATGGTATATTACCACTTTTCCCTTCACATTGGTAAACATTTTAATATTCACATAAAACATTGATTTTACTTTCTTCACACTAACATCTAATGTTTATATGTGTTTAATATTTAATAGGTACTATTTTAAGCATTTAACTTAAAGCTACACAATTTAATTCTCATCATAAACCCTTCACCTGGATATCACTACTATCTCCTTTTTACACAAAGGAGAAACAAAGCACTAAGAGATTATATATTTTCAGAGACCACAAAGCTGGAAAACAGTGAGGCTGGTACTGGAAGTTGTTGGTCTGTTTAGAGCTTTCAGACTCTCAGCTACTCTTTTACCTTACTTCCCAGCATTTAGCAAGGAGGTGAGACAGACACTATACATGCTTGCCAAAGTATATTTTGAAACATCTTGACTAAAAAAAGTTGTATACAAATATATGCATACAAACATTACTTTAAAGCACTTTCTATAGCACAACAAAAACTCTAAATATCAAGTACTAAAATGGAAATAAACTTTTGGATACAATATTATATCTACAGGAAGTTGTTAGCCATGAATAACATGGAGAATACGTATTTAGGTGTTTTTTGGTTCTGTTTTGTTTTGTTTGTATGGGGGATCGAACTCAGGTCCTTGGGCTTGCGAGGCAGGTGGTGGAAACACTGAGCTAAATCCCCGGCCCCAGGTGTTTTTTTTTAATGTGCAGTTTTCTGTTTTAAAGATTTCTTAGCATGACTTGCATAATTTTTTAAGTCCAAAATCTTGAAAAATTGTATTATAATGTAAATGTTAAAATATAAAATAGTAAGGCACATAACCTCCTGGAACCTTTCGAGAGGTTATGGACAAAAGACTGATGTGCTATAAAAGGGGTTAACCTTTTAATAGTCATTTTTCATTTATTTTTTTATTAAGTAAGCTGAAAATAAAAAGAAAAGGACAAGTCAGTCACATTTATCTTACTAAGTCTATGAATTCATATTGTGGGTATTCTGTACCAGATATTTTTATAGAAATACTTCAGAGGACAAAAATATACTGTTTCTGCTGTTGTAGCATTTTCATTCCAGAAAAGAGAAACAAACACTAGACAAATGCAGGTGTTAAAAATAAAATAGATGACTAAAGATTGATGGTTGGTACTGTTGTTTGTACATTAGTTAAAGATGTCTGCATTAAGTGATGTCTACAGAAAGACAAAAAAAAAAAAAAAGAACAAGTGCTGGGAAGAAACAGAAAGCATGAACAAAGGGAATTCTTGACAGAAGGGAGGAGGCTGGAGTCAAAGTCTAAGGAGGGCTTTATAGATCATTATTAGAGTTTTGCATTACTCTCTAAATGAGTGCAAGTTTAATGAGTCACATGATCTGTTTAATTTCAAAAACACGTCCTGCAGGTTGGGCGAAGAGCTTCTAGCAGGCAAGGCTGGGAGCGGGGGGTGGGCGAGAAGATCGTTGCAACAGTTTAACGCTGAGATTATTGGAACTTGAACTGCTTCATGGCAGTACAACATCTGAGAGACAATAGAATTCGGGATACATAGCTAAGGAGACCCAGTAAGATTTGGTGATGGATTAAATGTTAGGTATGAGAGAAAAGAGATACAGAATGACTTGAATAAAAGAGCAAAGCTAATTGTACTTACATGATACCACACCTCCTCTTGGTGGCTCACATTAGAGTTTTACCCCTATTAATCTGGTCACGGAGGCAATGTGGGTAGTAGTGAATTTCTGTGATTACCTGACATCCTGAGGGATCTTTTTGACCAGTCTGATCCTGCTGAGGAGAGAGACTCATTTCTATCTTCGGCACCTAGTTCAGTGCCTGATAGATAGTTGGAACTCAACACAATATTTTTGAATGAGTATTTTTGATTAAATGGATAGTTAATTAAATGAATAAATAATTTAAAAATGAATAAATAATCATTAGGTTTTCTGTCTACCTCATTGATAGTTTGTGCTTTTTCTTTACCAGCGTAGACTTACATAGCAAATGTATTTCTGTGTTTAATAAGGTTTGTTTCATTCTAGGTCATCTTGAGTTTAGATTCAGAAGTTATCATCTTAATTTACATATAGTAATGAACATATAATAATGAACATATACTGGTCTCTGAATCCTTTGGCCAAAGCCCTAGAACCGCAAACTAGGTCAAAATGATAGTAATAATTTAATTTAGAGGTGCATGGATCCTGTCTAGTGAGGTGACTAAGATGTTGTATATCCTGATTGTGTGAACTTTATAAATATTTCTAATGATTCAGTTTTAAAATCTGAATACTCTTTATTTTTTTAGTTAATCATTAAATCTGCCAGTTTTTCCTTGATAGATGCATAGATCCTCCTTTTTGGCTTCTTCTTTCTAATGTATCCAGGGTATCACACCCTGCAAGCTCAGATTTCTGTAACTTTCCTCTAATTGATATCAGACACAGTGCCCTTTGCTTTTCTTCTTAATACCTTCGTATGCATTGCTTTCTGATTATTCTTCCCAAAACTTAGGATTCATCATGCCATTCTTCTTGGAAAAAAAATTTTCTCCTCCTTTCACCAAAGGATATCGCTGAGTTTCCTCAGTCTGCTTCACCAGGTGACTCCAGTTCTGATGGATATGTCCGGAATGGATCCCTGCGGCAGGCATTGCACTACTGGATTGGATTCATAGCATTCAGCAATGCAGACACTCAATGCCCACAGTCAAGAGAGAAGGAACTCCTGCTACTACTCTTGTTGATGGTACATCTTGGCATCATCCACACAGTGCTAGTTTTAGGTATATTCAGAAGGGAAGATTGTGGAGTCAAGAAGGTTTCTGCCTAGATTTCAGAAAAAGGCCTGGGGGTTCAGCAAGTGTGCCTGAGAGGCCACTGTGTGAAGCTATGAGTGCTAAGCCAAATGTGATGTGGGGAGAAGGTTGGAGAAGCCAGAAACATGGGTCATCTGAGGAAAATTATAAGAAGAAGGGTTTGCCCAAGAAAGAAGCCTTGGAAGCTATATCCAAAGGTAGTGCTGTAGGGGCAGAAACAACCAAGCCTTTTCAGAGTTCACATCTTGCCATGTGTTACCCCAGATGCTGGGCAGGGAACTGTGGGACTTCAAGTTTGCCCTGCTGGATTTCGAACTTACTTTGGTTTCATCCCTTTGTATCCCCTATTTGTACCTTTTGGAAAAGAAATGTTTATTTTGTGCCATTGTACGTTGGAAGAGTTTAACTTTCTTTTCATTTCTAAAGTGGATCACAGTTAAAAATTTGCTTTAAAATTCAAAGGAGACTTTGGACTTGGACTTTTCAGCAATGCTGAAACTGTCAGAACTTTAGCAACTCTTAGAGATGGGACTCAGCAACACTTGCACTAAGGCTGCACATGAATCTTTTGGAGGCCAGGAGTGGAAAAGAATGTTCTGGATTGTACCTAGATGTCCCACCCCAAGTCTCATGTGGTCACAGATGGGGAATTTTGGAGGTAGCTGGATTAAGGGTGTGTGAACATAGATTAAAATGTAGTATTGGGATTAATGGCATGGATAATGGAAGCTCCAGCCTAGGTATGAGTGGCACCAACCTATATATTTGTACCCTAGATGGAATATAAAGGAAAAGATGGACGGCTGCTGCTGCTGCTGCTTTGTTGTCATTGTTTCTGCCTGCTTTGCCATACCCTCTTTCTCCTCTGTGATTCCTCTCTGCCGCGCCACCCTGTCTTGGTGTAAGCTAACTGTAGACTGACACCTTTACATACTGTGAGCCAAAATAAACTTTTCCTCTTTGAACTTGTGGATGTTGGGTACTCTGTCTCCGCAATGAGGAAAGTACCTAAGACAATAATCCTAATGGTCAACGAGCTTAGAGATAACACCTACAAAAAGCAAGCAGAGAGCTAAGCAAAGAGATACAAAACATGAGTACCCAGCACAAAGAATAAGAGTCTACTTAAAAAGTCCCAAACAGAAATCTAAGAGATTAAAAATATGATTGAAAGTATGGGCAGCAGAAGTGACGAGTGTGAGGACAGAGGGTCAGATGTAGAAGACAGGGCTGTTACTGGTGATAAATGAAGGTGAGATACCTCAAAAACGAGAGAACACGAAATATGACTCCAACAGCTGCTAGATCACAAAGATGACAAATCTATGAGTAATGAATTAGTGAAAAATCAGAAAACAGCACATGGCATAAAGAACTTGTTTAGAGAAACAATAGCAGACAACTTTTCAGACAAGGAAAAAGAATTTAACATAGCGATAAATGAGAAACATAGAACCCCAAATAGGCATTATCAGATTATAAAACATTCCGTGCCACATTATAATTAAAATGTCAGAAATCCAGTAAAAAGCTATAGCTTAAAAAGCTTTTAGAAAAAAGCGATGAGTCACTTATGAAGGACTATCCATGGAAACTGCAGTGGACTTCTCAACACAAATATTAAACATAAAGAGAGCATGGAATGAAGAATTTCAAGCCCTAAATGAAAAAAAATCTTTCAACCCCGACTGATACATCTTGCAAAATTATCTTTCAAAACTCATAGAGAAATAATACTTTTCCATAATAGAACCTCTTAGAAATTCATGACTTCCAAACCAACATTCCAAAAAGTTTTCACAGATGTCTTAGAAAGAGGTAATGAAAATAACAACACCAAAACATCCAATAAAATGAATTCACTAGGTAGGGCAAGCAAATAAGAAAGGAGAGAGTTATTGGTCTCAATTTACCAATCAAAAGACACAGATTAGCAGAATGGATCAAAAAGCAAAATCCAACAGTATATTGTATGCAAGAAACATTTAACCCTAAAAGAAATTCACAGGCTAGAAATCAAAAGATGGAAAATGATATTCCATACAAAGGGAGCCTCTAAACAAACAGGAGTAGCTATCCTCTTTTCAGACAAAATTAGATGTAAGGCAAAGCTTATTAAAAGGACACTGCATATTGGTTAATGGAACTGTTCAACACGAGGAGGTAAAAATTATAAACATATATGTGCCAAATTATGGTGCATTGAACTTCATAAAACAAATACTTAAGAACATGAAAGGTCAGATAAACATCAACACAATTATGGTGAGGGATCTCAATACCCTACTCTAACAAATAGATCAATTAAACAAACAAACAAGCAAGCAAAAAAACCCCAAAGAAACATAAGAGTAGAACCAAACCTTTGAACAAGAACAAAGAGATATGCACACTGTTCCATCCCACAACAATAGAATGCACATTCTTTTCAGAAGGACATGGAAGTTTTTTCAAAATAGACAACATACTAGCTAATAAACCATGCTTAAATAAATGCAAAATAATTAAAATTATACCATGGATTATCAGATCACAATGCGATGGGACTAGAAATCAATGACAAAAGAAACCACTGAAATTACACAGATGTATGGAAATTAAACAATAAGTGCTTTACTGTGCACATTTGGGCTATAATTCTTCATATATTTCACTGCTGGACAGCTCTGATTTAATTAATATGTTTTACACCCAGGCAGATCTGATTTGAGTTTGTTAACCTGATGTTATATAGCCAGCCTGTGTTTTGTTCTTTTGTTAATATATAAGATGAGAAACAAAAACAATTATTGCTATTTCACAGTTAGATTATCACTAGGCTCAGTGATAAATTTTTCATTTGTTATTTCTTTGTTGTTCCTTGGTGATTCTTCTCATTTTTATTTGGGAATTTTGTTTGTATGCAGCATATAATTTTTGCAGTACATATATAATAACCTATTCATTTTTTTCAATTTTAAGACAAATTCAATTTTGTAAATATTTCATTTAGAGTGTTAAGCACAGAAAATGTATGATTCATCAGAGGGTTGTAATTATATCTCATCAGAGGAAAGGGTCACTGTCCATCCGTTACTCGTCAGATGAGGATGCATTAGAGTTAGATGAATGTAATCTTGTGGCCAATGCATTCAATGAACATAATGTAGATTTGGATATGAATGTGGACAATGAAGAGGACTAATGGTAGACAATAACTGATAGAACAGGAGCACACCAAACTGCAAAGCGTGAAAATGCTAATAAGAAAAATTAATTGCAGTGATCTTTTTGCATTGCATAAATTATTCACACCTGATAATATAACCAAAATTATAGTTAAAGAAATAAATAGACACAGCACACAGTAAGGCTTTCATACAAAAAGAAGAAACCATCAGCAATGCCTGGAATCTGTTATCATCAGTGAGATGAAAATAATTATAGGTGTACTGTTAATTATGAGGATAGTACCATTACCAGACATGGCAGCAGATGTGTTGAGAATGTTATATAACCACTATATTTTGACTATTTTGAACTGTTTACTCTGATAACGCCACATGCAGAACAGAGGATCCTTTGAAAAACTTAGAAAAATCATTGAAGAAACTATTAATATATTTGAGAATGCAGCAAAAGTGGGGAAAATGAAGTGATAGACGAAAGTGTGAATTTTACGGTGAACATTTGCATTTTTAACAATACATCAAAAGAAAACAATATGGGATAAAAATATGGCATAAAATTGTGTAAGTTATATTTGCCTAATTATCACACCTATGGTTGATGCCAGAAAAACTGCAAACCTTTCAATACATGGGCGTTCTTATGATGCTGTTTTGAAATTAATTATTAGTTTATTATTGAGCACCACCTGCTACATGCAGATAATTATTATTTGAATATACTCCAGCACAAGAGTTCTTAAAAAAACATTTTTGCAGCACAGAATTGCCAAATAAAAATATTTTTATGGATATAAGCAAAGGCAAAGCAAAAATGTGGTGAAATCATAAACTTTGAAAATTGTTCTGTTGTAAAATTTGTTAAATGGACTGAGAAAAGAATATTTCATA